ATCCATGGTTGTTCTTTGCCTCTATTTTTGAGATTCTTCGTCGGTCTTGTTAATTCTTTCGGTTCCAATGCCAACAATGTTGATATAAACACATATATGGTATATGGTCCGATGGCCACCATCATATATATGGTATGTATAATCAAATATTTTTCTCCCTTCATACCATATATATATATATATATAAATATATATATGTTGGGATTTATATGCCCTGGCATAACAAATTCCTGTTTGGATTAAAGTGATATATGTTCCTGACGTTTCTGAAATATTTATGTTTTATACAATTGGTGAATTCAATGAATTATATTTTGAATCATTATAGAATTGATAGTATCCATTTGATTACAAGAGATATTTATATATATGTATGTGATAGCAATCAATACATGATATATAAATAGTAATCATAAACGGTTCATAGTCGGTAATTATGGATGGACTCATAATTAATTAAGATTTGAACTGGATCCGCGTTAGGTTGAAATATATTGCGAGAGCTGTCGTATGCAATTGCTCTCTATCACCGTCATGGCATTTGACTCTTAAGCATGAGAAAATTATAGACTCTTTTATTAATTAATAATTACTTTGATTTGTTCGGCGGATTCTTCGGAATCCTTAGACCGACACTTTGGGTAGTTATGTAATTAATAGTTAGAGGGTTATATTTTTAATATTTGCATCATTGCTACTTGTATTTATTTTTTATTTGATTATGGTTGATCACAAAGTAAATTCGAACGCTTTCGTGTGGTTTTAGACAAAATAATTTATTATATATATTTATTTATTAAATTATTATTTTTGTCAAACAAATGTTTTATTGTGATCGAGCCAGAAATAATCAAAGGTACCAAAATAAATATATTAATTAAGTAGTCGGATTGATGACTTTATTTATCCGATAACTAATTATGCATAGAGGGGTCAAAGTATAATATTGACTTAGAGGTTATTTATTATTTAATTGGAGTTCAATTAATTTCTTTTAGTGGAGTAGAAATTAATTTATGAATTAATTGAATTGGGACCATGGACCGGGCCAATTATTAATTCATTGTAGCCAATAAAATAATAGGCCCAATGGATTCTCACTCATAGCCCAACTTGATATTGGAATCATATTAGATTTGAGACATGTGAATTAGAGATTTAGAAGGATTAGTTGTTTCCTTTTCTTTACCTTTATGTTGCCTATAAATATACATGGTCTATGTATATTTTAGGGGTGATTTTTAGTAGAAGGAAAAAGAAATATATTTTCTCTCTCTAGAAAATTAGAGTTTATGTTCTTATCTAATGGAGGCTCCCACAAGTCTAGTTTTCCAATGTCATTCATGGAGGCTTATGAGTGATTCCTAAAGGCAAAACAATTACCAAGAATATGGAGATCCAAGGAGAAGGCATCTTGCTAAGGGATCTACAATAAGTGAGAACATTCACTTTAGAGAAAAGATTTAAAGGTTTACTCAGACCTTTGATGTAAGTATTCAATCCATTAATTGAATGATACATCATATTTTTATTTTTGTATAAAACTTGTCCCTATGTGATGAATTAAGATTTATGAATCAAAATCCCTCAAATTTTTTTTAAAACTTGCATGTTTCCCAACAATATATACATAGCATATATATGTTGGTGGCTGTCTAACCCTATATATATATATATATATATATATATATATATATATATAGGGTTAGACAGCCACCAACATATATATGCTATGTATAATCAAATCCGTTTTCAAGAGATAGTTAAATTTTTAGATATAAACCCACAAAAGCGAACCTATACAATCGATATATATATATACACACATAAAGATCTATTTATTTTTATAAAAACCAAAAAAAACAAAAAACAAAAGAGGGCTTTACAGAGAAATAGAACGCTAAATACAAAAATTCAATAATATAGGTGGTGGTGGCTAAGGTGGGGTGGTGAAATGGTGGGTGTGGCTGGCTGTGAATTGGAAATTCAGTGAACCCATTTCACCCACAACCCAACTTCGGCGAACCCATTTAATCCACGACCTTCACCGCCACCACCCGACCACCGCATTTTCACCCACGACCTTTGCCGCCACCACCCGACCACCGCATATTTACCCACAACCTTTGCCGCTGCCATCGATATGAGAGGGTTAAAAGAGAGAGACGAGAATCTTAGACAATCTTGATTTGATTGAAGGGCAAAAAGGTCACTTCAGAATTATAATATTTTACCATTAAAATTAATTAAATATTGATGGGCAATTTTGTCTTTTCAAGCATTTTATGGCCTTGCTTGGATCAAAATTCTGACAAGGGGGTGTCTTTGTTCGGTTTAGCAAATCTGGGGGGTGTCATTGTCCAAAAATGACCTAAGTTGTATCTACCTGTCTTTTAGGCAAACCAGGGGGGGTGTCACTGCAATTTACCCAAACTTAAACTATTAAGTCTATCACTTAACCTATTTATACCCATCTGAATCCAATGTATGAGAAGTCTTCCCGTAAAACAATGATTAGTATGAAAATTTACAATTTGTGACAAAAAAATAAGAAGTATACAAGTGAGCAACGTAACTTGTATGAACTATAATGGGGCAAGGCTTTAATGGACGGATTTTAATTAGGTGTGAACAAAAATCCGGTCAAACCGAAAATCCAAACCGAATCGGACAGTTTGGTTTGGTTTGCTAATGGTTCGGTTCGGTCATGGTTCTAAATTTATGAAACCGTACAAATAAGATTTGGTCACGATTTGAGGTCCTTTAGGACTGAATTAGACCAAACCGAACCGTTATATTTTATATATATATATATATATATATATATATATTTATTTATTTATATATGCTAATTTATACAGTATATATAATATAATCTTACAATTCAAATCACTAAGAATTTTTTAAATCACTTAGAAGTTTATAGCAACTATCAATCCTATGGTCCACTCTTAATTCTCTTAGGTCTTATCAATTTATTAGATGATTTTTTTTTTTTAGTGGTTGAATTTTGAATTGTGACTGATTGTTTGTTGTTAAATTATTAATTCTAAATGTATTAGGTTATTAGCAATTCTGAATTTATTTACTTTAGCTCTAGAATTGATAGAGAATAATGAATTAAAAGTTCTGAATATATTAATAGTTTTGAATGTGTTGGTAACTTGGTTTATTATTGTGCATGTGGATTTTGAAAAAAAAAAAAGGAACGCTGGGAACAGAACCGAACACGATTTGGTTTAGTTTGGTTCCTTTGGTCAAATGGTTCGGTTTGGTTTCAAATTTTATGAATCCGTTAGAATTAGTTTGGTTTCAAAAAACTCTTAAATCGATCCAAACCGAACCGTGTGCACCCCTAATTTTAATATTCTTTGGTAGCGAGAACTCTATGTTAAGCAATCTTTTCTTTTAGTTGTGATAAGTTGTTGTAACTAATCAAATTGGTCTAGCCTATGAAGCATTGACACGGCTCTAAGGGTCGACGTACCAGTGTCGGACACGTGTCCGACACGGACACGCGTATCCCAAGCTTGGACACGTGTCTGATACGCTCTAACCGTGTCCTGCATATTTTAATATATTTGATGTAGTCGGACACCGGTCGGATACGGTCGGACACCGATCGGACACGCACCGATCTGATTCCACTGTGCCTCATTTGCATTCTCATCTCAGGACTGAGCTATTTCACCGTGCCTCTTTTGCCTGAAATAATGAAGGAAGAGGAGGAAGATAGCTAGAGAGGAAGAAGTTGAGAAGGGAGCCAAACCTAAAATGGTATCATATATATATATATATATATAATTGAAATCGAAATTGGTTTGATGAATCTATAGATGTAAAAATTATGAAGATAGAGAGACGTAAGAGAATGATCAGAACCATGGGAGACACGAAGGCGTAAATTTGATTTTGCGCAGAGACGTGGGTCATTGAAAAAGGAGAGATTGGGGAGAAAAAGAGGGGGTTAAGTAAGACGTCTTATCTGTGTTATTTCTGTTATATATATATATATATATATATATATATATATATATATATATATATATATACCAATTCTATGCATCAAATCCGCACTGTGGAAAGCGGACGATTGGGCCACGAGGGGTGGGCTGGTGAAGACTGACTGGACTCAAACACCCTTCACAGCTTCATATATACATACCAATTCTATGCATCAAATCCGCACTATGGAAAGCGGACGATTAGGCTACGAGGGGTGGGCTGGTGAAGACTGACTGGACTCGAGCACTCTTCACAACTTCATACAGGAACTTCAATGCCATTGGGCTAATTTATATGGGTTGTACTTATATATATATATATATATATATATAAGAAATTAAGTAAAAGTAAATATTTTTTTTATATATAATAAAAATTATATTATTATTTTACTACCATGCTGTGTCTGTATCTTATTTTTTAAAAATTTGCTTTATCACCATTTCCGTCATATCCGTATCGTATCGTACCTGTGTGTCCGTACTCCATAGGATCTAGCAAATAGTTATAGATTCCTAACAATATTTGGTCCCACATCAAATCACCGTTGGAATAAAAAAAAAAAAGAGTAAAAAAATTACTATAAATAAAAAAATATGCTAAATGTTTGGGGACACATTGTAATTAAATTAATTTTTAATTTATTTGATAAAAAAATTTGCCACTTCTAATTTTATAATACTATCATTTCATAAGATGTTAAATAAAGGAATGAATATAATTGTCTTTAAAAAAACATAAGAAGTATAAATTTGTCTAACGGAAAAAAAAAATAGATCTACTTAAAAAACTAATTCAAAAGTTCCAAATTCTAACTAATTCAAAAGTTCTAGTGAGCTAAATTTAATAACTACCATCAAAAGTGCTTTTAATAGTAGTTATTGAATTTAAACTAATTTTTCAAAATAAAAATGCTTTTAGGCAGTAAAGAAGCAATTCCAAACGACACTTCAGGATGTTCCCATCAAAATCAAACATGATCCGAGCACAGCACATCACACCACAAAGTAACAAAATACTCCTAATCAAAACAAAACAGCACAAAGTCTTGACAAAATATTCTATCACAAAAACATACCGAATTCTCCTTACATCTTCTAAGCCTGTTAAATCCGAAATATTTGTATCCCACTGTTATAAATCGCCCCAATATTCCTTTTATAGGGAGAGTACTATGCCAAGTAAGACCAACGATTCATCCCTTGATTCAAAGCAAGGGCATGGTGCCACCCCTTAACTGGTTTCCTCTCTCCCATTTGGAATAGTTCAGGTAGGTTTTCTTACCCCCTGCCATACAAGTAATAAGATTCGTGCCATCCTCTACATCTGGTGCAGATTGTCATACATAGTTAAAGACGATGCATAAAACAGGGTCCACATGATAACTAAATGTCATATCTACCAAACAGTCTCGGAATGTTATTCAACATCAAGCTCAAAACCATTCTGACATGTGTGCACTTTCCAGGACCGTCAACCTCCTTAGACCGCTGCACTCAATCTACACAAAAATAATTAAGTGAAAAACAAAACAAGTTCAAAGTACAGAAGCCACTAGCATGAAAGCATAAAATCTGCACACAAAAATAATTAAGTGAAAAACAAAACAAGTTCAAAGTACAGAGGCCACTAGCATGAATGCATATAGGTGAAACATTATACTCCTTCGGCAGAGTGAAACCTCACAATATGACCCCTCCAAACTCCACCTCTTCAATGACCCGTGAGACCACGAAAGAGAACGAACAACAATGATGGTGTACTTATCTTTTCTTCTTCACAACTTCACCAAGATTTGTATAGCGGTTCCTTCATTCCATTTACAAAAATAACATTCTCTCAACGAATCACAACCCTTATCCCAAGTGTATGTATCTATGCATGCTTTATACTATCTTTGCATGCTCTTTGGTTACTTTCTCTGTGTCTTTAGATTATTCTGTTCCTATTATTCTCCACATGGAGAAAAGTTACGAGTAGAAGAATAAGCAGGAAAGACCTAATTAACTTTTGAGAGGGAGATAACTGAATGGGGGCAAATTGGTCATATATCAATACAAAGTTATAAAGTGGAGTGCCTAAGTATACAATTGGAGTTTTAATAGCATCTCCCTATTTTAATGCACGAAAAATGAAGGATTTCAAAAAAATAAAATTTAAAAAAAAACAAAAAAATAAAACATGATTGTCCATTAGTGAAGTGAATACCCTCAAGCATGTAATTATAAATAATTAAACAATCAATTCAGTTAATATAGCATCTAATTATATAAAAATAAAAAAATAAATAAAAACAATCCATTTCAAGTGTTTTCCCATCACAAGACTCTACAAAATAACAGCCAATCATAAGTTACAATAAAACTGTTTTTGCCACAAAAACTGTTTTTGCAATATCATCTGACAATTTTCTGGCTCTTCCAGGGACTCAAATATGAAAGGAAAAAAAAAAAAAAAATCAGATAAAAAAACAAAAACTAGATCAAAGCAATAGACGCCATGCTTGAATGAAAGCATCTCACAATACTCTTTAAACAGAAATGACCAATACAGTTGCTTCACAAAATAAGAACTCAATTCCAACACAAACTAAGAGAATTCGGAAACAAAAAAAATAGAAAGAAAGAAGAAGAAGCATAGTTTTCAAAGCTTATTGGCAACGGTAGATAACCCAAAGGCATATAATCTGGTAATGAGCCAAAGGACAATCTTGTTGTCGAAGGACAATCTCAATAACATTACTCTAGTTTAAATATGCAGATAATAGCCAAGTAAAACATCATTTTTTGATTTTTCAAACATTGTTTCTAATAGGAATGAATATCCACTTACGTGAAATGAGAAATTTATAAGAAAAAGCATGATTGTTCATTAAAGTATCGCTCTTTTTACTTATAAAAAAAAAGTACCACTCTTTTAAGACCCCACAATAAAACAATCCAAACACAAACAAATGACAAAGACCCCAGCCATACTTCTCCTTTCCAAACAACTTTCCAAACAAAAGCACCAAGGCATTCATATCACCCACAAAATAAGCCTACAATTTGGTAACCAAAAAACACTACCTTAAACATCAGCTTGGTCATCTTCGTGCTCTTCTGCCACCAAGGACTCAAGCCTGCACAAAAAATAATCTAAGTAAAAAACACAAAACTAGATCAAAACTGAACGCATGGTTGTAAAGGAATGAGACCAATACAGTTCCTTCACAAAATAACAACTCTGCATAAAGCACAATCAATGAAATGCATATCTAGACCAATGGTTGTAAATGATCATTTGACTTACCCCACTCCCAAAACAATTCCTTTAAGAAAATTTTCAATAATCCCATAGTTGTAGAGGAACCTTTGGAGAACCGAGACTGCTTCTAGAAAAAGAGCAAAAAGCTGTGTGTGTCTATGAAATCGATGTCCATGTCCAATTTCACCATATGCATGATGCAATCTCTAAGGAATCTATAATGAGCCCAAGAACTCTCTTGGTATACAATCCCATGGGGATTTTTATTTAATACATTCCCTGGAAGTGAATCTGTTGGTACCCTATCGTGCAACTTGTACCTGGGTCGGATCCACCCGGTCGTACTATTAATTTTTTGCTGAGTACATCCACTATGCGCTGGGCGCTGCCTGCCCCAAGTGAGTCTATAACGCTCACCAAGAAGTATGCCCTTTGTCTTCCAGTCATGAGTGCAGAATGATACTGAAGCAGAAGCTTCACCCCACTATTAGTCAAACAAAGAAAAAAAATGATTACAATGGAAATTAATGAAGACAGTATATTTAGTATACCAAAGACACAGAAACAAAATCACCTATTCATATAGTCCATTCTCAAGAAAAAAAGTATACTCCTTAATATCAAAAGGTGTCAGGTTCTCGTTGGGAAAGAGCTTTTCATTGATCCAATCGTGGAGCCTCAGTAGATCATCATCCCACCTTGTGGTACGATCTTCGTCGGGCTTAATAACGTCAATGATAGTGAGCAATTTTGGGGTATCATTTGTAATGAAAACCCTCCAATCTGCACTGGTGTAATAACCTTCCTCATTCATCTTTAGGATTAAATCAACTAACCCCCTTTAATAAGCTAAATAAATAGCAAACAATAATTACCTAATTATCATAGTTATTAGTTAGTTGTCTTATGCACAATGCACAGGCGCACAATTATATTAGCTATAGAATTTGAAAACACCGTGTTAAAATTTTGCACTCTTATTATTATTTTTTGCACATGTGAAACTTAAGGGCCTCACATTTGAAAGTTTGCCTAGGGCCTCTCAAAATATTTGGAATCTCAGGGCCAGCCCTACTTAGTTGTCTGTAAATTTGGGTAGGTATAATAAGACGAGTGAGACTCATAAAAGCATCCTAACTTTATCACCATTTTGATCTTCTCTATCCGTAGCAAACCCTAGGAATTGAACTGCTACTCAGAAGATAGTTTCAGAAGGCCATTCCAACTTTATCACAATTTTCATCGTTCTCTCTCTGGAGCAAACCCAATGGCTACTCACTAGATAGTTTTGGACCGCCATTTGAGAGGTATTTTTGTTTTTGCCTGCTGTCTTCTTCTACATTTCTCTTGTATGTGTTGTTTAATCTTCTTATATTGACAACCATTTTAGAGGTATTTTCCTTTTTTTTTTTTTTTTTTTTTTTTTTTTTTTTTCCCCTGTTTTCTTGCACATTTCTTACATATGGAATGTTATTGTTATCTTTTTTAGAATGTCAAAAAGGGTGTCAAAAGGGGAGATTGAGACCATGGACATACATGGATATAATTGCATAATTACCAAAAAGAGAGATGGCGAAAATTTTGATATTGCAAATATCAAGGATCTAGACTCTAGGCATTTTGTTATTCCATTTGATGAGAAGACAAAACTGGAAGATTTCAAAGGCAACCGCAAAATGGATCACCAGAACCTGTTGAACTTCAAAGTATTTGACTCGGGAAAAAAAAAGGGCTTTATTTGAGTACAGTACTCAAACAATTGAGCAATGGGTGGAGAAGAATCCTGTTCGGTTTGAAGAAAAATCTATTCAGTGTGTAGAGGAACTTGAGCGTTCAAGACCAACTCCTCCATGTCAGATGATAATCAAGTAATTATTGTTAGCTATTTATTTAGCTATTTTAAAATGTAAGAATGTTGGTTACAAACTTGAATTACTAAATAGATAGCTATTTTAGTATGCCCTTTGTCTTCCAGTCATGAGTGCAGAATGATACTGAAGCAGAAGCTTCACCCCCCTATTAGTCAAACAAAGAAAAAAAATGATTACAATGGAAATTAATGAAGACAGTATATTTAGTATACCAAAGACACACAAACAAAATCACCTATTCATATAGACCATTCTCAAGAAAAAAGTATACTCCTTAATATCAAAAGGTGTCAGGTTCTCGTTGGGAAAGAGCTTTTCATTGATCCAATCGTGGAGCCTCAGTAGATCATCATCCCACCTTGTGGTACGATCTTTGTTGGGCTCAATAACCTTGATGATAGTGAGCAATTTTGGGGTATCATTTGTAATGAAAACCCTCCAATCTGCACTGGTGTAATAACCTTCCTCATTCATCTTTAGGAGTAAATCAACTAACCCCCTTTAATAAAAGAAAATGTTAGAATATTGGTTACAAACTTGAATTGCTAAATAAATAGCTTACAATAATTACCTAATTATCATCTGACATCAAGGAGTTGGTCTTGAATGCTCAAGTTCCTCTACACACTAAACAGATTTTTCTTCAAACCGAACAAGATTCTTCTCCACCCATTGCTCAATTGTTTGAGTACTGCACTCAAACAAAGCCCTTTTTTTTCCCCGAGTCAAATACTTTGAAGTTTAACAGGTTCTGGTGAACCATTTTGCAGTTGCCTTTGAAATCTTTCAGTTTTGTCTTCTTGTCAAATGGAACAACAAAATGCCTAGAGTCTAGATCCTTGATATATGCAATATCAAAATTTTTACCATCTCTCTTTTTGGTAATTATGCAATTATATCCATGCATGTCCATGGTCTCAATCTCCCCTTTTGACACCCTTTTTGACATTCTAAAAAAGATAACAATAACATTCCATATGTAAGAAATGTGCAAGAAAATAGGAAAAAAAAAGAAAAGGAAAATACCTCTAAAATGGTTGTTAATATAAGAAGATTAAACAACACATATAAGAGAAATGTAGAAGAAGACAATAGACAAAAGCAAAAATACCTCTCAAATGGCGGTCCAAAACTATCTAGTGAGTAGACATTGGGTTTGCTCCAGAGAGAGAACGATGAAAATTGTGATAAAGTTGGAATGGCGGTCCAAAACTATCCTTCTGAAACTATCTTCTAAGTAGCGGTTCAATTCCTAGGGTTTGCTACGGAGAGAGAAGATAAAAATGGTGATAAAGTTAGGATGCTTTTATGAGTCTCACTCATCTTATTATACCTACCCAAATTTACAGCCAATTAAGCAGGGCCGGCCCTGAGATTCCAAATATTTTGAGAGACTGTAGGCAAACTTTCAAATGTGAGGCCCTTAAGTTTTACACGTGCAAAAAAAAATAATAATAATAAGAGTGCAAAATTTTAACACGGTGTTTTCAAATTCTATAGCTAATATAATTGTGCGTCCGTGTGTTATGCATAAGACAACTAACTAATAACTATAAATTTATCACCACCAACAAATAATTGTGCGCTTGTACAATGTGCAGAAGACAACTAACTAGTAAGTATAAATCTATCACAACCTATAAATAATTGTGCGTCTGTGCAGTGTGTTTAAGACGACTAATTAATAACTATAAATTTTTATCACCACCAATAAATAATTGTGCGCCTGTGCAGTTTGCATAAGACAACTAACTAATAACTATAAATCTATCATCACCAATAAATAATTCTTCGCATGTGCAGTGTACATAAGACAGCTAAATAATAACAATAAATTTATCAATTAAAGAGTGCGAAATTTTCACAGGCACAAAATAAAAAATGAAGAGAACAATTTACTAGAGAACAGAAAACTGCAGCTTCTTTTACATTCATTGTTTATATAGCTACTAAAATTTGATGATTACAGATGACAAAAATATGTGGAGTTGAGGTGACTATATATATATATAGGGGCCTGAACTTGTACTACTGAAGAAGTAGTGGGACTTTTAGGTTATATCTGGCATCCACTATATCATATATAGTTTTGTCTTTCACTCTTTATATTAACTACACTACACTTTGTGTGTGTTTTTTGGGAGCCAATTACCTGCAGTGATTGATTGATCATTGCTACAGAAGACCTGTGCAAATTAATAGAAAAAACCATTAATTTTTGTTTTGTTAAAGCCTGCTATTGATTTCCACGTGTTTGTACATTCTGATGGCAAGTGCTTTGACAGTATTATTAACTGAAATTCTTGCTGAGCCAACTTCAAATAACATCAATAATGGTGGTATGTATCTTCATATAAAAATAAAAATAAAAAAAACTTAATTTGGCACTTTTAAGTATGAGCATAATTTAGAGATCGAAAAAGTTAATTATTACCTCAACCCACTAGAAGGGATCCTTAATTTTCGTGGGATTGAAAGTGAATGCAAAAAATTATGAGGAAAAGGGGTATGGTTGCTGCTGTTGTGAGATTGGAGTGGACTTAGGGAGAGGGATAAAAAAAAAAGTACCTGCCATAGATTATGGACTCGATCGCCATGAAAGACACATGTAGAAAGGCACACATTTATTAAAATACTAAGAGAAACATAATATATTCATTCAGCTTGTGATAGCCATTACACATAGTGACACACAAAAAATCATAGTTTGGAAGCTACTTTTCACTATTGGAACAAAGGTAAAGGCCCGAATCAAACGAACCAAAGTTAGAACAAATCAAATGATGAGATGAACGAAAGAAAGAAACATTTATAAAAGATCGATTCATGCAAAAGGAGAGAGAAGAGAGAGAGGATGAACATACACCTGAGGCGATAGCGGAGGCTGCGCCCTGCGGAGTGTCGAAGCAGATTGTATCGTCTGAAACTTGCCCTAACCATTTTTTTTTTTTTTTACATCCCCTTTGAGGCCTCTAAAATTTGAGGCCCAAGGCGACCTCCTTGGGCCAGGGCCGGCCCTTCAGCTAAGTCTAGACTCTAGAGCCAATAGAAATGAAACTGGTAGCTTATTTCAGAGGCACGGTTTTTTCAAAGTTTGATCTCAAGTCAGGATTTTGGCAAATCCAAATTGCTGAAAAAGATAGATACAAAATAGCTTTCACGGTTCCTTTTGGCCATTACGAATGGAATGTGATGCCTTTCGGATTAAAAAATGCCCCTTTAGAATTCCAAAAAATTATGAATGATATTTTTATTCGTCTTACGAATTTTTCAATTGTTTATATTGATGATATACTAATATTTTCTTCTTCTATAGATGCTCATTGGAAACATCTCAATGTCTTTGCTCAAACCATCAAGCATAATGGATTAGTCCTTTCTTTATCAAAGTTAACTTTGTTTCAGACCAAGATTAGGTTCTTAGGTTTCCAGATCCACCAAGGAACTGTCATCCCAATCAACAGATCCATCCAATTTGCTGATAAATTCCCTGATGAAATTAAAGACAAAACCCAGTTTCAAAGATTTTTAGGGTGCCTAAATTATCTCTCTGAGTTTTTTAAGGATCTTTCCCTTCTTTGTGCTCCACTACGCCAAAGATTAAAAAAGTCCCCTCCCCCATGGTCCGATGAGCATACAAAAACAGTCAGAATCCTTAAAAGCAAAGCAAAAAACCTTCATTGCCTATCTATTGCTGATCCAGAAGCCTTCAAAATTGTGGAAACTGATGCATCTGAATTAGGTTATGGAGGTATCCTAAAACAAAAAATAGGTGACAAGGAACAACTAGTTCAGTTCGCCTCTAGCACATAGAACCAAGCACAACAAAATTACACTACAGTCAAAAAGGAAATTTTATCTATAGTTTTATGCATTTCAAAATTTCAAAGTGACTTACTAAATCAAAAATTTTTGGTTCGTGTTGATTGCCAATCTGCAAAAACTGTTTTAAAGAAAGATGTTCATAACATAGCCTCAAAATAAATTTTCGCCAGATGGCAAGCTATTCTTTCTGTATTTGACTTTGATATTGAATATATAAAAGGAGAAAACAATTCTCTTCTTGATTTTCTCACCAGGAAATTTTTGCAGGGAAAAGCAAGAGCTTAGGGGTGGTTACTATGCCTCCCAAGACAGGAAGAGGAGCCTCAGTTGCAATCACAAAATCCCACAAAACAAAAGATGCTTATTCTTAATCATCCTCTCCTCAAAACCCTTCCAAAAAAACCTGGTATGATAAAGTCGAGGAAGATGAAGAAGTTATGTGTGCTAGTCCATCTCCATTAATTACAAACTAGTTTTCAGCCCTAACCACAATTCCCCAACATGTCATAGACATGTCCCCAATCCAGTATGACCCCATCCAAGCATACTTACAATCCTAACAACCAGTGTTTCCTCCCCTTCAAAAAACTTATGCTGCAATTTCTTCAGCATCAGATAAACAAATTTCCTCAAGATCTATTTCACAGCAAGTGGTGGTCAACAATCCCACTCTAAAAAAATCTCGTTATTTTCAAAAACCAAATTCATCAACCATTTGTGTGGTTGAAAAAGAACTTTTTAACCAAAACCCAGTTTTACTTTCTCAAAATCATTTTGTCAAAGGTTTTCATTATCCAACATCAGATTTTCAGAAAACACAAAATTTTAATGAGTTTATTTTAGTGGACACTGATTCCATCAAAATTCAGACTCATTCAAAACCAGGTGATGAGTCTTTCATTTCTCACACCACATGTACCATTGATCGGTTGGTCAATTAAACATCAACCTTCGCAATAGCACGAATCATTGTAAAATAGGGCTATTGGTCGGGTAAGTCGAACCACTGGGACTGCGCTAGTCTATGGCAACCTAAGCGTCTAGAGTCATTCTTAGGATGATGAAGGGGTATAAAATGTTTGTTTGGTTTGTCACTAAAGTTAGGAATGTAAAGATGCATAAAACAAGAATGCAAGAAATGTAAAGGAAGGAGATCTAGGTAGAGAGGGCTAGGGAAGTGAATCCA